CATTAATTGGAATACTAGTAGTCAATCGGTTATTACAAACCACCGAATTAATTATAATTACAACTTCGATTGAGAGAATGTGAAAATTTTGGACATAGAAAAATTCTTACACAAAAAATTGATTTCTGAAATCTCTCACATACATATGCACAAGAATAGCCTTAATAAACATTCAAATATCGAGAGACTACATCAGATGCTTATGCATCTATGCTCAATAATGTTTAATTCATCCAATTGTCATTATGTAAATTTTATGTTGTTCTCACATTCTTATGTACTCTTATATTTAATGGTCATAATACGAATTTTATATTGTTTTTCACATTCTTTTTTTTTTTAATGTCTAACAAGAATATTTACGATGTGATCTTTCAGTTATTTTAATATTGTTTTAAACATTTGTGACATGTCCTAACGTACAGATGTAATACAGATACTGCCGATCTTTATGTCTGATTATCTCTTGATTTTATATTAATTATTCATTTATGCGAGTAATTATCTAAGCTTCTTGAGACGCTCTCTATCCACAATCACTTCACTCTTCAATGTTTTACTTCTTTCTATAGTAATCAATTTTCTTGTAGATTTTATATCGCCAGATTTTATATCACTAATTTATTTCTGGCAATTTATAAATTACACAACTTTTTTGGATATGCGAGCGTTTTATTATATTGCTATTTGGCTGAAAGGGACTCCAAAGTTGAAATGTTCAAAATAAAGAAGACATTTATTGACAGAATACACGTAAATTTCATTATTTCAAGATCTTGCGCCTGATCACTTGCATTTGACTCTCATTAACCTTGATTTAGTTATGTTTATATAAATTATAGTTACAGCTAAAAGACGCTGAAAGACGAATGAATGAAATTCTTAAATAATAATAAGCAGACAAACAAATCATCAACGTGCGACTGAATTAAAATCTTACAATTTAACTTCAGTCCAGTAAGTGCCAGTCAGGTCTCAACAAAGTGTAAAAAAGTCGAATTAAATTGTAATGAAAATTCTTAGATCAAGTCAGATATTGCGATTTATCGTCACGAAGAGTGAAACGAAAGTGCTGGTGATAGTTTATCAAGAATTAATTTACTAATGTAATTAGTAAATAACAATTATAGAAGTGTAACAAATATTTTATATAACTTAATATAAATATAAATATAAATATGAATATAAATATGAATTTAAATAACGACAAGATTGAAAAGCATCATGATTTTCTGAGACCGTTACAGGTTATGTTTTATTCTTCGTGACGATAAGCCACAGTATCTTGGCTTGATCTAAGAATCATCTTACAATTTAATTCGACTATTTTTTACACTTTGTTGAGATCTGGCTGACACTTTACTGGATTCAAGTTAAATTGTAAGATTTTAATTGTCAATCGCGTATTGATGATTTGTTTGTCTATATATATTTGTGAGTATATAAAAGAATTTCATTCGTCTTTCAGTTAACTGTCACTATAATTTATATATAATTTATATTTGATCTATTTCAATACAAGAAATATGTACATATTTTTTGACGACAATCTTAATATAACAGTTTTCGAATATGAATATTAATTGTAACATTTTCTTGCTTGACTATAAGAAGTTGTTGAAACATTTACACATTTATATGTGTATGTAAATACTTGTACTATGTATAAATAAATTTTTTATTTAATTTTTGCGCATTAATATCTGCATTGACTCATTATGGTTTATTATTAATACTATACTTGTAATTCTACTGCTAGCTTATCAACGCGCTGTCAGATATTCTCGATATCAGCGGCGATTTACTTGCAAATTTAATGTTTTTGCTCGCGCATATGTCACTTCCGTATTATCGAGCGGATGCACAGTGCGGGAATATTGAATTTGTAAATGGCGGTAGTTATATCGCGATGGATCCTGGTGGACACGCGCGGAGGGGACGTCCGATTAATCGCTAAATCTCGCGAAAATTGCTATCTACGTGACGCATTCGACGTGCATAAAGTCCGTTTTTGCATCTATAATTAACGACAGGAATCCAATCTGTCAATTTCGTGCTGTACACGTGCGCGAGCGAAGGTGCTTCTAATTTTTTCGTGAGTTGAAATCGATAAATAGACAGCACGATATCGAACGTGTCATGTTGCTGCAGTTTCACGTTAACTAGAATCAACTACGAACGCACGATAATCTTGCGAGCGTGATTTTATTTCCATAAATGTTAATGTATTATTAGGCGAAGATCGAATATGATTCTCTCTTCGCTTATCTGTGTACTGTTTCTATATATTTTATACAGTCGAAAAATTAATTCTCTCATAGAAATTCAGAGCAAAAAAACACGAGATTACTTCGGTCGATTAGTTTATCTAATTAGTTCTGTGTCTTATTTTCACACTCAGAGAAATACGTACTAACAACATTTTTGTAAAGGTGATACAAACATGTGCAAAAATATTGGTCACAGTTTTCTCGCATTTTACGAAAAGTTAAATATCTCGACGAAAAGAAATCTCAAAGAGATTTTCGATCACGCATTTTAACGTAAAGATAGAGCTTTAAATCTGCATTCGAATCCTTTGTTTACGATATTTTGTTCGTAAGTTATATAAAATTGAAAAATAATATCTTTGCAATATTTTTGTCTTACTTTAAAGCGTAACAGTTCAATAAAGTAAAGTAAGTAGCAACCAAATTTAATATGAAAGTATTGTATCTTAAAGTAGGTTTCTTAAGCTTTAAAATGCTTTTTGAAAAAAATTTGTACGATAATTATTTTTCGCAAAGATATCGTATTTTTTATTATGTGAAATTTCATTGTAGAAATTTACTTTTTCTAAAATGATTTTTAATTCCGAAATTAAAAAAATATATGGAGAAAAGACAAAAGAGGAAAAATCTTACAATATTCTTGATTCATATAAATTTAAAAAAATTTTTTTAAAAACTTTATTCGATTATCAATTTTAAAAAAGTTTGTTACATAATAAAAAATTTTTTTACATAATAAAAAATACGATATTAAAGTTTAAAAAGTCTACTTTCATATTAAATTTTGTTTGTTAATGTTTTATTGAACTGTAGCGTTTTAAAATAAGACAAAAAAATTTCAAAAACATCATTTTTTGATTTTATGTAACTTAGGAACAAGATATCAGGTAGACAAAAGATTCAAACGCAAATTTAAAGCCCTCTTTACGTTTTAAAATGCGTGATCAAAACTACTGTGAGATTTTTTTTTGTCGAGATATTTAATTTTTCATAAAATGTGAGAAAATTGTAAGTAATAACCTAATACTTTTGCACATATGTTTGTATAAGTTTTATGTGTAGAGTTAATGTACACACACATGTTTGAATAAATTAAATAATGTTAAGAAAAGCATAAGTTACAAAAATAAAGTTATAAAAATAAGTTACAAAAATATAAGTTACAAAAATTTAAATTCTTAAAAATATTTTTAAACATAAGATTTGTTATCTCAGCTATATTTATAAAGAATTAGAAAATTATAAATACTTAAAAATTGATTGAATGTATGTATTTATTAAATACTGATTAAATATTGATTTTTGAGAAAGAAATAAAAACACATTTTTTTAAGAAATGACCCAAGATGTCTCATACTTGGGACTGTACGTGCATAAATATAGGTTTATTCAAAAAATAATTATGATAAAAAGTTAAAAAGAAATTTCAATTAATTTATACATGTTTATACATGTTAATATAGTCACTGAATAATAATAAACATAAGTACAACTAATAACTAATAGAACAAAATATCTAACTATATAAATAAAACTATGAAAAATAGCTATTGATATATACATAAAATACAAAATTTATAAAAGTAAAATAAAATTAATTGCTTAATTTATAAATTGTCTTTTTAGTGCATATTGTATTCTTCTAACACTATTTTGTATTGTGTTTCATAAATATTTAATGTATGACTCATGGACTCGATTACACTTAACATAAAAAACGATAAAAAATGATTAAAAAATAAATGATTGATAATTATATTTGTAGTGTATAGCAAGATGAGAAAAGATATGAAAACTATTAATATGAGGCAACGGAATTTGAATTCTACCATCTAATATATGGGCAATAAAGTAATAAAGTTAGTAATGGGCGACAGTCTCACACACACACTCACACACACACACACACGCGCACACACACACACACACACACACACACACACACACACACACACACACACACACACACACACACACACAAACACACACACATCAGTTATATCAATTTAAAAATTATTCTAAACACTTGAAGCTTCATGTGATGACTTATGTTATATTGGCTGTTTTTCAAACACAGATGACACAATCATTCTTGTTGTTTGCTAATGTTAAACGAAGATGACATGATATCACTGTTACACTGTGTCGTTTGCTAGAAAACACTAATTATGTAACTGAGGTGTTACAGTCTTTCCTACATAATTAAATAATTATTTTATAATCATTATAACTATAAAATAGTT